CCTGCTGGGCTCCAGCGATCCTTCCGCCTCAGCCTTGCAAGTAGCTGGAACTACAGGCGCGCGCTACCATGCCCGGCTCAAAAAAATGTAGATTCTTGAGGCTGGGCGTGGTGGCTCACACCAGCAGTTTGGGAGGCCAAGGCAGGAGGACTGCTTGAGCCTAGGAGTTCGAAACCAGCCTGTGCAACATAGTGAGACCTCAACTCTACAAAAAAAAATTAGCTGGGAGGGGAGCGCAGTGGCTCGCAACTGTAATCCAAGCACTTTGGGAGGCCGAGGCAAGAGGATTGCCTGTGCCAAGGGGTTCCAGACCAGCCTGGGCAACTTGGCAAGACATAATTTCTACAATAAATCAAAAAATTATCCAGCTGTGGTGGTACACACCTGTGGTTCCAGCTACTTGGAAGGCTGAGGCAAAGGATCACCTGAGCCCAGCAGGTCAAGGCTGCAGTGGCCATAAGCATGCCACTGCACTCCAGCCTAGGCAACAGAGGGAGACCCCTACTCCCCCCCAAAAAAAGATCAAGGTATGCTTAAAATGGGAAAACTGTAAAGGCTGGAACTGAAGGCAATTTGCTTCTCTTTCAATCCCTTATCAATATATGAATGTCTGCTACTAAAACAGAATAAGTGATTAAGGAGATCAATTGATTTATCTATCTGTTGGTCACAGATTTTTTTCAAAGGCACACACACTCAGCTACTTTTTTGACTTATTATGAGACGAGGTCTTGTCATGTTGCCCAGGCTGGTATCAGAGCTGTCAAAGGATGAGACAGGTTTGTTTACAAGGTAGTGAGTTCCCCATTGTTGGAAGGATTCAAAGAAAGTTTAGAAGACCATCTGTCAGGGATGTGCTATGCAGACAGTTGAAATCAGCACTGTCCAAAAGGCCTTTCTGTTACAATGAAAATGTTTTATAGCTGCATTGTTCAAGACAGTAGCCACAAGCCCTACGTGTTTATCAGTGAGCACTTGAAATGTAGCTAGTATGATTGAGGAACTGAATTTTTTTTTTTTTTGAGTTGGAGTCTCACTCTGCTGCCTGGGTTGGAGTGCAGTAGCATGCTCTCAGCCACCACAGCCTCGACCTGCTGGCCTCAGGCAATCCTGCTGCCTCAGCCTTCCAAGTAGCTGGAAGTATAGGCATACACCACCGTACCCAGCTAGCTTTTGTATTTATTGTTGAGATGAGGTCTCACCATGTTGCCCAGGCTAGTCTGGAACCCATGGGCTCAGGCAATCCTCTCACCTCTGCCTCCCAAAGTGCTGGGATTACAGGCATGAGCCACCACACCCATCCTGAGGAACTGAATTTTTAAAATTAAAATTTTTTTTTAATCTAGGCGTGGTAGCTCATGCCTGTAATCCCAGTACTTTGGAAGGCAGAGGCAAGAGGACTGCCTGAGTCCAGGGGTTCCAGACCAGTCTAGGCTACTTGGTGAGACCTCGTCTATAAAATAAATTTAAAAATTAGCCAGGCGTGGTGGTACATGCCTATGGTTCCAGCTACTTGGAAAGCTGAGGCGGAAGGATCATCGGAGCCCACAGGTCGAAGCTGCAGTAGCTGTGAGCATGCCACTGTACTCCAGCCCGAGCGATAGAGATTCCGACTAAAAAAAAAAAATTTTTTTTTAGAGACAAAGTCTCACTGTGTTGCCCAGGCTGGAATACAGTGGCTATTCACAGGCATAATCATAGCAAACTGCAGCCTTTAACTCATAGGCTCAAGAGCTCCTCCCATCTCAACCTCCCTAGAAGCGGGAGCTACAGCCACATGTCACAGTACTCAGCTTGAACTTTTAATTTTATGTAATTTTAACTAACCTTCATTTAAATAGCTGCATGTGGTTAGTGGCTTTTATCTTGGACAGCACAAGTCTAACTGCCAAGAACCCTTTAAGTGGCTGAGAAGCTGTGAGTCAACCAAATCATGTGTGGGTTCTTCCAGTTGGTGACAAATTTGGTGGGTACTTTGGGGTGGGGCATGCTAGGGATGCCCCAGGATGCTGTAAGAAACCAGTTCAGATAAGAAGAGCTCCTGTAGCCGGGCTCGGTGGCTCAGCCTGTAATCCCGCGCCTTTGGGAGGCTGAGGTGAGTGGATTGCCTGAGCCCGCGGGTTCGAGACCCGCCTGAGCAGGGAGACCTCATCTCTACAATAAGTCAAAAAATCAGCCAGGCGTGGTAACACATGCCTGTAATTCCGGCTACTTGGAAGGCTGAGGTGGAAGAATCGCCGGAGCCCAGCAGGTCGAGGCTGCGGTGGCCGGGAGCGGCCACTGCACTCTAGTCTGGGCGACAGAGTGAGACTCCAACTAAAAAAAAAAAGAAGAGCCCCTGTTTATTTCACAAATATGTGCTGCATATTGGGGATTCAATGGTAAAAACAGGCACAGGTCCTGCCACGTGCCCCAGAACTCATCACCTATATGGGGAGACAGACTAGTACACAGGCAGCTACAGATGTTCATGATCAGAGCATGACAAGGCCAAGTCCTGGCTGGCGAGCCAGGGAAGGTGCCTGACCCAGCCTGGGTGGAGGAAATCTGGACAGCCTTCCAGTAGAAGGTGATGTCTATGCCAAAATAAAAGAATAAAAAATGAATGATCTCAGCCAGGCTCGGTGGCTCAGCCTGTAATCCTGCGCCTTTGGGAGGCTGAGGTGAGTGGATTGCCTGAGCCTGTGGGTTCGAGACCCACCTGGGCAACTTGGCGAGACCTCATCTCTACAATAAATAAAAAATTAACTGGGTGTGGTAGCGCGAGCCTGTAATTCTAGCTACTGGGAAGGCTGAGGCGAAAGATCGCTGGAGCCCAGCAGGTCGAGGCTGCGGTGGCCGGGAGTGGCCACTGCACTCCAGTCTGGGTGATAGAATGAGACTCCAACTCCAAAAAAAAAAAGAGTGATCCCAATAAAGTGGGCGAGTGGGAAAGAATGCTTCAGGTAGAGGAAGGAGCATGGACAGCAGCCTGGAACTAGAGAACAAAACTGTTGATCTGAGGAACTGAAAGAAGTCCTGGTGAGACAGCAGGTGGGAGGGTGTAGTGAGATGAGGCTAGGCAGGGAAGGACGCATAGGCCTCATGGGCCACCCTGAGGGTAGAGCGGAGCCTTTAGGTGTTTGAACAGGGAGTGAGGCAATGAGGTCTGCATTTAGAAGGAGTCCCCAGGTGCTATGGTGGAGAGGAAGTGGAGGGCAGCCAAGTGCAAAAGGTTCCAGAGGCCTGAGTCAGGTGGCAGCAGTGGCATTAGAGAAGAGGGCACCTTACCTGCCTGGTCCTGCTCCCCGTACCACGTGTTCCAGTTGCCCACAAGTGAGCAGGGGTAGTCCTCATCCAGGTGCAGCTTGGGAAGCACAGCCTCCCTGTGGGAGGAGCACAGAGAGGGGGCAGGGATCACACCAGCCCCAGAGAGCCCTGAGATAAGGCCTGGGCCTCAGTCTATCCATCTCTAATATGCAAAGGCTGGCTGGACAAGACATCCTCAGGACTTCCAACCCTGAAGTCTACATCCCCTGGATTTCTCCAGGGAGAACAGACTGGAGGATGTTCTGAGGACCAGCTGGGATGGAGCCCCCACCCAAGCAGGGACTGGGACAGGTAGATGGGGGAGGATACTCACGTCAGACTGTTGTAGGCATCCAGGCACTCGGGCTTCACATTGTGAACTACAACAGAGGAGAGAGCAGGAAGTGAAGCAGGAAGTATGTATACAGGGGGCAGGTGGGATGGAGAGAGCTCAGGATGTCCCAGACCCTCTCATCCCCATGCTGGAGCCTCATAGGTCCCCAGAGGGCCTGCGGGGGTAGGGGAACAGCCAGCCCAGCAGCCACTCACACTGGATCTTGTAGAGGTTACTGGTCTCCTTCTTGGACAGCAGGGTGGAGTGAGCATCCTTCCGGGGATCCACCTTGTGAACAAAGAGGGAGCGGAACCAGCTGCCTTCATTGTCCTTGGAATAGAAACTGCAGGACAGAGGAGGACATGTAGGGGTTGGGGAGCCCTGCAATTCCATCTGCTCAGATGTCCTGCTCCCCCAGAACTGGTGACCCACATTTCTGGAAATGGGGCCACGGAGTCCTGTGATAGCTCAAGAATGTGAAATGCTATTGGAGTTCAGCTGGGCAGACCTGGTTCTGCTTACAGAGAGTCCAGCTGACAAGTCGGCTACTTGAAGCTTTTCAGGTCCTCCAGAGGCCAGGAGAGGCAGCCCTACCTCCCACTTCTCTTCCCAGACTCCCTGCCTTCACTTCACCTCCTTGCAGGGGGTCCTCTACTTGGGCCACCCAACTGTAGCCTCTTGCCAAGAAGACCAGCCCCAAACCCACCTTGCCTGCTGCCCAAAGCCCTTGACAACCCAACCTATCTCATCAGCCTCCCATTCCCATCCCCTAACTTGTATGCCCCACTCTCTGGCTACGTTCTTCCCTGAACATGCCAAGCTCTTTTACTCTATGCTTTCTTTGCAAGTTCTGTCCTCTCTGACAAGAAGGCTACACTCACCGTCCTCTGCAGCACTCACACTGCAACTGGCCTGTGCCCCCTTCCAAGCCCCACAAATAAAGAACAAAAGACAATAAGCCTTGTCCTTAAGGCAGTCACAGTCCACTGGAAGAAGCAGGCCTTGGAACACAATCGTAGTCAGGGGTCTGTGGAGGAGCCCAGGTGAGTCAGACTTAACTCTGCCTCTGGAGAGTGACGAGGTGAGGAGGGGGAGGTGAGCTGGCCAGTCCAAGGGCTGACTGGGAGACAGACAGATGGACAGGTAAAAGGCAATATGTTATCACTCGTCCTGCCAACACCTGCCCACCTCTAGGGTACTGTGAGAATGAATGAATCAATAAATCAATGAATGTGATTCTGTGTTTTACTTATGAGGACTGTGGTTCGGAGCAAGGGAGTCTGCTGCCAGATTTTACCAGACCAAAACTACACCCCTGCCCAAAACACACATACTCAACGATCCAGTAGGGGCGGGCGTATCTGGAGGCTGCCAATTGTCTTATTCCACAGCCTTGACATAGTTTGCAGCAAGGCCTGAAAAGCAAGGCTTCTGCTGGCGAGAGTATTCCTAGCCAGGAAAGCAGAGGGGTCTCTGAATATCAGCAAACCTTCTCCCTTGTCAAGCCTTTGCTGTGGCTAGAACAAATGTACTACAAATAAAAACATTACTTTCTTCCAAAAATATGGAGCAACCCTGGGAACTAATTAAGTTCAAATATCTGCCGGGCACGGTGGCTCAGCCTGTAATCCTGCACATTTGGGAGGCTGAGGTGAGTGGATTGCATGAGCCCGCAGGTTCGAGACCTGCCTGGGCAACTTGGCGAGACCTCA